TGAGCCCAGCAAGTCGAGGCTGCGGTGGCCGTGAGCAATGCCACTGTACTCCAGCCAGGGTGACAGAGTGAGACTCCAACACAAAAAAAAGAAAAGAAAACTTTAACGCTGGACGTGATGACTCACACCTGTAATTCTAGTACTTTAGGAGGCAGAAGCAAGAAGATTGCCTGAGCCTAGGGGTTTGAGGCCAGCTTGGGGAACTTGGTGAGACCTCGTCTCTACGATAAATTATAAGTGTTATGTTTGATTAATGTTCACAAACTAAATATACATATGTAATCAACATCAAGATCTGGAAATAGTATATGACTGACAGTCCAGAAATTACCCTTGTACTGCAACCATTATCGTGATTTCTAACACTGTAGATTACTTTTGCCTGTTTTTAAATGTTTTGTGTTGTGTTTGGTTCCATTAAGAAGCAGTTTATCAAATTGCTGTTTTATGATTAGCTCCTGCGTAAACCATTTTACACAGAGTTTATGAGATTCATTTATATTGTTGTGTGTAGTTGAGAATGGTTCATTTCATTGCTATATAGAATTCCATTGTGTGAATATACTACTTTTTAAAAAATCCATTCTAGGGGCGTTTGGGTAGTTCCAGAGTTTGACTGTTGTGAGAATTGTTGTTATGAACATTCTTGTATGGGTCTTTTGGTGCACATCATCCCATGTGCATTTCTCTTGGGTAGATGCCTGGGAGTGGGATTGTTGGGTGTACATATGCTCAGCTTGGGTAGCTATTGCCAAACAGTTGTCCAAAATGGTCATATGAGATTTTAGTTGCTTTACTTTTTTGCCAACACTTTATTTTAACCATTCTGGTGCATGTGTAGTAGTAGCACAGTAGTTTTAATTTGCATTTCCATGCTGACTAATGAATATAAGCATCTTTTCATGTGTTTATTGGCTGTTTGGACAGCCTCTTTTATGAAATGCCTACTTAAGTCTTTTGTCCATATTTATATACAGTTGTCTGACTTTCTTACTAACTTATAAAAGTTCTTTATATATTCTGGATACAAATCTTTTGTCTTTTGTCAGGTATAATCATATTGTAAATATCTTCTCCTTCATTAATTTTTATTTTTTTCCAGTCATCCAGCCCAATATGTCAAACTTTTCATTCTTTTTTTTTGAGTTGGAGTCTCACTGTCGCCCAGACTGGAGTACAGTGGCCGCTTCTGGCCACTGCAGCCTCAACCTGCTGGGCTCCAGTGATCCTTCCGCCTCAGGCTTCTGAGTAGCTGGAATTACAGGCGCGCACTACCACGCCCGGCTAATCTTTTGATTTTGTTGTAGAGATGAGGTCTTGCCTGCCCAGGTGGGTCTCGAACCTGTGGGCTTAGGCAATCCAGTCACCTCAACCTCCCAAAGGCACGGGATTACAGGCTGAGCCACCGAGCCGGGCTTTTATTCTTTTATTGATATCTTTAGATGAAGAAAAGTTTTTAATTTTGGCAAGAAGCAGTTTACCAAATTACTCTTTTATGATTAGCTCCTTTGTGTATTGTTTAGAAATCTTTGTCTACTCCAAAGTCATGAAAATGTTCTCTCTCTCTCTTTTTTTTTTTTTTTGAGATGGAGTCTCACTCCGTTGCCCAGACTGGAGTAGCAGTGGTACACTCATGGCCACCCCAGCGTTGACCTGCTGGGCTCCGGTAATCCTTCTGCAAGGATCATCCTCCAGTAATCCTGTAGCAGGAACTACAGGTGCGCGCTACCACACCTGGCTCATTTTTTATTTATTGTAGAGATGAGGTCTCGCCAAGTTGCCCGGGCTGGTCTCGAATCCGTTGGGTCAGGCAATCCACTTGCCTTGGCCTCCCAAAGTGCTGGGATTACAGGCTGAGCCACCGAGCCCAGCCTCTTTTTTTTTTTAACCAAAACTTTTTTTTTTTTTGAGTCAGAGTCTCACTCTGATGCCTAGGCTAGAGTGCAGTGGCATGCTCACAGCCACTTCAGCCTCAACCAACTGGGCTCCGCCCCAGCCTTCCAACTAGCTGGAACCATAGATGTGTACCACCACACCTGGGTAATTCTTTTGATTTATTATAGAGACGAGGCCTTGACAAGTTGCCCAGGCTGGTGTTGAACCCCTGAGCTCAGGCAGTCCTCTCGCCTCAGCCTCCCAAAGTGCTGGGATTACGGGCGTGAGCCACTGTGCTCGGCTACCCAAAGCTTTCTATACTAGAGATGCAGTTCATCTGGAATTAAATTTGTATTTGGTGGGAAGCATGGGTGCATATCCATTTTTTTTCCGTTTGTATATCCAGTAGATCCAGTGCCATCTTCCTTCACACACTGTAATATTTCCTTTGTTGTAAATCACATGATCATGTATATGTGGGGTTTGTTTCTGGATCCTCTTCTATTCTGTTGGTCAGCATTTCTACCCTTGCACCAAACCAGGCTGTCTTAGATACTACAGCTTTATCATAAGTCTTTTTTTTAGACTGGAAAATATACTTTATTTAGAAAGTAAATTGGAGACAGAGATTCACCTTCCCAAGGTAGGGGAGGGGGTCAAAGCCAGGAGACATGGAAGCCAGAGCTCAAAGAACCTCGTGGACACACCAGAGTTTAACAAAGCAATGGCCTATCATAAGTCTTGATATCTGGTTGTATAAGTCCTCTAGCTTTGTGCTATAGTGCTCTAGTTATTCTTGGCCCTTGCATTTCCATTTGAATTTAAGAATGAGTTTATTGTGTTGTATGAAAGGAGAGAAGGTTAGCACGCCCCTTGACAAGGATGGAAGAGGCTCTTGGGCCTGACAACATGCATCTGTTAAGGCATTACCACCTACTTCGTGACATCTAACCATCGTTTTTTTGGAATTAACATTAAACTTAAATAAAACAAACCTAAATAAAAATGCCAAAAAAAAAAAAAAAAGAATGAAAAAGAATGAGTTTATTGGCTGGGCATCGTGGCTCATGCCTGTAATACCAGCACATTGGAAGTCTGAGGTGGGAGGATCACTTGAGCTCAGAAGTTCAAAACCAGCCTGAGCAACATATTCAATGGGGGAAGGACTAGGTGCAGTGGCTTACACCTGTAATCTCAGCACTTTGGGAGGTGGGAGTGAAAGGATTACCTGAGCCCAGGGGTTTGAGACCAACACCTTGACAAGACCTCGTCTCTATAGTAAATCAAAAAATTAGCTGAGCGTGGTGGCACGTACCTGTAGTTCCAGCTACTAGGAAGACTGAGGAAGAAGGATCATCTGATCCCAACAGGTCCAGGCTGCGGTGGCCATGAGTGTGCTATAGCACTCACGAGTGAGACTCTGACTCAGGAAAAAAAATGTGGGGGAAGGCTGAAAAATCACCTACTGGGTACAATGTATATTGGGGCAGCGGAAGAAAGTACACCTAAAGCTCAGATTTCTTTGTCACTATGCCACTATACAATGCAGCCATGTAACCAAAAACCATTTGTACCCCTAAAGCTATTGAAATTCAAAAATGTAAAAAATGTATGTAAAAGGAATGAGTCTATCAATTGTTACAAAAAACTTACTGTATTTTTTTCCTGGAATTATGTTGAATCTACAGATTAATTTAAGGAGAATGAATCTTTTTTTTTTTGAGTTGGAGACTCACTCTGTTGCCCAGACTAGAGTGCAGTGGCTGCTCCCGGCCACCGCAGCCTCGACCTGCTGGCCTCTGGCGATCCTTC